CTCTTCCTCACTGACATCAATCTGGTTTGGCTCACTCTCACTCACTCTCACTCACCGTCACTCACTTTCCATGCGCTCCACCGACCGACCATGAAAGTTTTGCAGGTCTGTGATGCTTCTTTGCATCTGCGTTTTCGTCAGGCCAGGGCCCCGGGCACTGGTGGGGGGAAGAGAGCGATAGGCTGCTGCCACATCTTGTTGCAGTCATGCGATTAGAGTTTATAACCAAAAGATGGGTACAGCCTAGGATAAGAGTCTCAGTGCAAGGTACCGTCAGGACCCAGGACCCTAATCCCAGCAAGATTATGGAAGGGAGCATCAGGGCAACCCCATTATATGAGATCGTGGTACTGACTTTGTCCCATTATTTGATATCGTAGCACTGAGTTTGCCCCAGCCCACCGACCTCCGCCTCCTGCCAGGTCCGCCCGTTTATATTTTTTGGGGAGATGGCAAACCACCTTGGTTGGGGGGGCCCAAAGCACACGCCCGTCATTACATATCGATACACGTTGGTTTCGCGTCGCATCGTTGTCCTTCTTTCTGGTTCACATGGAAATGGGACTTCGCCACCCTACCCCTCGACACATGCACACACGATACAAGGTATACGTGTCCAGGCTCCTCCTCAGGTCTTATGATTTTAAAAGGAAGTGATGGTGTACCATGGCCTTGCCATCAGCCACGGTACATCTATTGTCACTTCCTCCCAATTGAATCTATGATAACCTTCGGCCTGTAACCCCGGTTCCCCCCGATCTCTTGTTGTGGGCAGATAGGCCTCTCTCTGGACGGACGGACTTTTCTAAGTAAAAGAAAAGCAAAAACTATTTTCTGTTGCTTCTTCAAAGTGATCCCCTTTGAGAAGGTCCATTGACCTTTTTTGGGATTGATCGAGTGGCCTCAAATTGATGGTTGACGAGGTCATTTTGAAGAAGCAAGTAACTATAGCTATTTGCTGGAGAAGAACATCACGGCGATCACCAAGGTCATCACAGATGTGTGAAGAAAAGGGTGAGCAAGGAGAACAACAGCTACCTTGCTGTTTTGAAGCCAGGAGAAACACCTCGCCACTGCCCAGGCGAAACAGATGGACGCGTTACAGTGGCTGGCGGTGGTGTCATGTGGTTCCCACCTATCAGCAGACAAACTCAACATGTACACACACGAGATGTGTGACTGGCTATCTGCCTGCGAGGGTATCCACCTCCGTCCAAAACGCGACGGACGACCAGGTTGTCCTCGTGCGCGCTTTGGTTCAGCTGCTGCAAGCAGTAATCGCGTCAAGCTGTTGCAGGACAATCTCGGGACTGACAAAAGTTTTAGTTGGGCTCGCCATGACATTACACACTTGGTCACGTATTGTGATGCGGTGCATATCGTCGAATCATTGTCTCACAGCTATGGAATATTTCGATTTGACAACCTTAGCGATTTGCTTACACTGTTCAAATATATATATATTATATATATTTCAAATATATATATATATTATATATATGTAACTATTGCCCGTTCCTATTACAATATTCTCAGGGGCTAGCGGCTAGGATGGTTCCCCCACCTTGGCGGGGGGCAGGTCGGTTCGTCGCCTGACTCAGCACCTCCGTGAGCAACTACTCCAAGGCAGGCTCTTGCCTCTGGGCTGCAGCTCCAGTTCCGGGAGTTTTGACGATGAGTTTTTTTTTAAAGAAATTGGACGAACCGATGTGAACTGATGTTTGTTCCGCAGCAGTCAGTCGGAGACATCATCATCATCATCATCATCATGATCATGATCATGATCATCATCATCATCATCATCATCATGTGCCAGCGATGTTTACCAGCCACAGGGCATGCAGAAAGAATTCACAAAATGTGCGGCTGCGCTCGAAAGAGTGCAGAACATTACTTTGGTCAGCGAAAGTATGGTGAGCACACCATCGTTTTGATAAGGAGCCAAAGCCTGGTTCGGTCAACAGCAGAGAAACACAACACAAGCGCCAGAATGCATAACGCAAGCGCCTTAGGAGCCAAGGTCTTGGGTTGCGAGGTGCTGGCCTGAGGTCGTTTTGATAAGGAGCCAAAGCCTGGTTCGGTCAACAGCAGAGAAACACAACACAAGCGCCAGAATGCATAACGCAAGCGCCTTAGGAGCCAAGGTCTTGGGTTGCGAGGTGCTGGCCTGAGGTTGTTTTGAATGTGTGTTAAACATAATATGGTGTTGAATATGTCAGGCACACCAACAGTTTGTTCCCCACACACACACACAAACTCACCTACCTACATACATACCTACATACATACCACCATCGTCCCTCCATCACTCTCATACTTCCTCTTCCCTTCTCGCTTTCTCTGCTCAGTCTAAGTCTAAAGAAGTTGGTAACATGTGGGGTTATCCGGTCCTTTAATGGATTATTTGTTAGAAGCGTTGGGTATGAGGCTGGGTTTTCATTTTGTAGGAGTGGAAGGGGAGGTGTCAGTAGGCAATAGTATTGTAAATACTGTGTGATACTGTAAAATATTGACACATACTGCAAACGAATAAGTAATCAACACTGTTAACGAATCAGTTTTCTGCAGGGCTGCTCCTTTAAAACGGAGATCCTACAACTTTTCTAAAAAATTGTTCCCAAGGATTTTTTAGCTTGAAAGGTGCCAGCCCAGATCCAAACATGAAACCAAACTTTGGGCCTTGGAAAAAACATTTTCTATTCAGTAGGGGGTCTTTTTCATGATCACTGGCACTCTGTGTTTTACTATAAAATGGAGACCCAACCACTCTTCTAAAATGGTTCCCAAGGATCTTTTTGCTTGAAAGGTGCCAGCCCAAACGTGAACCACATTGTGGGCCTTGGAAATAGCGGTTTCTATTCTATAGGGGGCACCTAATCACTTGGACTCAGGTTTTCATTCTGTAGTGGATTATTTGTTTGAAGCGGTGGGTATGAGGCTGGGTTTTCATTTTATAGGAGTGGAAGGGGAGGTGTCAGTGGGCAATAATATTGTAAATACTGTATGATACTGTAAAATATTGACACATACTGCAAACGAATAAGTAATCAACACTGTTAACGAATCAGTTTTGTGCAGGGCTGCTCCTTTAAAAATGGAGATCCAACCACTCTTCTAAAAATGGTTCCCAAGGATTTTTTTGCTTGAAAGGTGCCAGCCCAAACGTGAACCACATTTTGGGCCTTGGAAATAGCGGTTTCTATTCTATAGGGGGCACCTAATCACTTGGACTCAGGTTTTCATTCTGTAGTGGATTATTTGTTTGAAGCGGTGGCCAGTATGAGGCTGGGTTTTCATTTTATAGGAGTGGAAGGGGAGGTGTCGGTGGGCAATAATATTGTAAATACTGTATGATACTGTAAAATATTGAAACTTACTGTAAACGAATATATAAGTAATCAACACTGTTAACGAATCAGTTTTTAGCAGTGCTGCTCCTACAAAATGGAAATCCAACACCACTTCCAAAAAATGGTCCCCAAGATTTCTTGTCTTGAAAGGTGTCAGCCCAAACGTGAACCACATTTTGGGCCTTGGAAATAGCGGTTTCTATTCTATAGGGGGCACCTAATCACTGGGACCCAGTTTTTCATTCTATAGTGGATTATTTGTTTGAAGCGGTGGCCAGTATGAGGCTGGGTTTTCATTTTATAGGAGTGGAAGGGGAGGTGTCGGTGGGCAATAATATTGTAAATACTGTATGATACTGTAAAATATTGACACGTACTGCAAACGAATAGGTAATCAACACTGTTAACGAATCAGTTTTGTGCAGGGCTGCTCCTTTAAATGGAGATCCAACCACTCTTCTAAAAATGGTTCCCAAGGATTTTTTTGCTTGAAAGGTGCCAGCCCAAACGTGAACCACATTTTGGGCCTTGGAAATAGCGGTTTCTATTCTATAGGGGGCACCTAATCACTTGGACTCAGGTTTTCATTCTATAGTGGATTATTTGTTTGAAGCGGTGGCCAGTATGAGGCTGGGTTTTCATTTTATAGGAGTGGAAGGGGGGTTGTCAGTGGGCAATAATACTGTAAAATATTGAAACATATTGTAAACGAATAAGTGGTCAACACTGTTAACGAGTTAACGAATCAGTTTTGTGCAGGGCTGCTCCTTTAAATGGAGATCCAACCACTCTTCTAAAAATGGTTCCCAAGGATTTTCTTGCTTGAAAGGTGCCAGCCCAAACGTGAACCACATTTTGGGTCTTGGAAATAGCGGTTTCTATTCTATAGGGGGCACCTAATCACTTGGACTCAGGTTTTCATTCTGTAGTGGATTATTTGTTTGAAGCGGTGGGTATGAGGCTGGGTTTTCATTTTATAGGAGTGGAAGGGGGTGTCAGTGGGCAATAATACTGTAAAATATTGAAACATATTGTAAACGAATAAGTGGTCAACACTGTTAACGAGTTAACGAATCAGTTTTGTGCAGCGCTGCTCCTTTGAAATGTAGATTCAACCACTCTTCTAAAAATGGTTCCCAAGGATTTTTGAAAGGTGCTAGCCCAAACGTGAACCACATTTTGGGCCTTGGAAATAGCGGTTTCTCTTCTGTAGGGGGCATGTTTCCTAATCACTGGGACCCAGTTTTTCTTTCTATAGTGGATTATTTGTTAGAAGCGGTGGCCAGTATGAGGCTAATCATACTGGCCACTGCTTGTAACAAAATCTAACAAACAATCCACTATAAAATGAAAACCTGAGTCCAAGTGATTAGGAAAAAGACCCCTATAGAATAGAAAACTGGGTTTGCAATGCCTCAAGTTTGGTGTCACTTTTGGGTATGTAAACTGCATGGGCGCAATCCAGGTACCATTCTATAGTAAACACTGGCCTACCAGCCTCATCTCTATAGAATCGTACCCCCAGGTGATCTATTTTATTGAGATTTTTCCAAGGAGGATTAATAAAATATATTGATTCCAGCGCATTGAGTCACATGAGACATTACAGTAAAGAGAATCAAGTCATCTATACGAATATAGAAGTGGTTCTTTCATTCAGGAAATCTTTTTTGGATAGATGAAGTGAAACATGTCGAGATTTTGGTGTTGAAAAAGCATTCTGCTTTCTCAGAAGACTATGTCTATGGACCAGATAACGACCTAGTCCGTTTTCTTGTACCAAACCTCACCATCGCTCCAGCAAATGGTGGTCTCAGCACCACTTTTTGAGACTACCTTGCAGCCGCTTGGCATCAAAAAGGCAGGGGCAGCTTCACAAGAGATGTTTTCTTCATTTGACTTGGTGTGCATCTAGCTAGCACAAGCAAACAATGACCACAGACCCAAACTTCCCATAAGACTTGAGATCAGATGCGCCGCTATGCATTTTGCCCTCCAGAAAAATGCTGACGCGCAACGAATCTGCCTTGACATGCAAGCAGGACTCTGTTTGGGTATATGTTGGCAAAAGATCCATGCAGCAATACAATCAATGCCACCTCCGTGAGATCACAAGGAGGATGATTGAAACCCGGGACCCATGTCATCTTATTCTCCTTGCACATGCCGAGGCAAACTCAAGTCAGATCTGATGCTGTTTCAACGATGTTTAGCAAATGCGTGTCTCACGCATCTCTCGTCCTTGATGGTTCCGAGGAACACATTGTCTCCTTTCCGTAACCATGGCCCTTCAAGAATTCCGCCCATAAAATTTGCCTCGAACAAAGTTGGCATCATTTTTGCCATCACAATGCGCGACTGAATTCCGAATCTTGACAGAATGTCAACGCCCAGCTCCAGCCTGGGCGCCTTTAACCTCCTGCAGCACCGGCACCTCACTGACTTGGATTGCCTCTATATACACTTTTTAACAAGGTTGGCGATAAGGGGCCGAATTGCTGTAAGGATCTATCAGGATGTTTTGCCTTTTCTGGTGGTGCAGTCAAAGGTCCGATGTCACATCAAGGCTGGCTGAAGTGCCGCTCTCATCCTCAACGCATTTACAAATTCCTTGTCCCATACCTCAGCACAAGGCAATCAAGTGGACAAATAGAGACAGTAAAGCTGATAGTTAGCAATACGAATTGTATGAATTCTATGAATTCAATGAAAACACAGTAGCAATTCAGGGAAAAAAACACAGTAGCTTTGCTCTAGCTTTGCTGTGGCATCAAAAGATCAAGATCGGCAATTCTCAAGATCAGAGGCTCCAGCAGAGGCCGAAACACTAGTCCCACACCCTACAAACGCCTACGTGGTCCACATTCTGCTTGAGCTCAAAGTCAAAAAAAAGTTAAAGCCAATCAAGACAGATCAAAACAGAAAATTGGAGGCCTAGCAACACGAAGTTCTTGATTTCTGATAACCACTGTAGCAGCAGACCGCACCAATTTGCTGCGCATGGCAAGCATAAGCGAAAACTGCAGCAGCTTGTGACCTTCCAGCCTCTCCTGCTCCGCAGCACACAGTCACTCGAATCGAGACAAGTGATACGCGGATCCTTTTTCGGCAATTATATTTTGATAAGCTTCTTTGGCCTTTTGTTCGCCGGACGAGACTTGCTCTTGAGGAGACAGGTCTGTTGCCATGTTGCAAAATTAGGCCTCAAAACCCTTTGGAGGAGTTACCTACTCCACCTCTATGACAGAATGTTCAAAAGAGTCTTAAAATGTCATGTACTACAGAACGTAGCAATCATCCCATCCTGTGGTGTATGTATGTTTTTCATGTCAGAAAAGAGAATACCCCTCACCCTGTAACCAAAGTGTCTGCTATTGCGAATGAGTTCAAAACCTGGAAACAAACCCATCCCTGCTCTTGAACAGGGTTTCTTCGCATCCCATTAAGGGAGAAAGGCGTAAGTCATCTTGGCCCCGCCAAGTGAAACCAAATCATGGCAATTCTTCGGTTCAAATCAGGCTCATAAGAACGTGCGCCACATGGACTTGTAGCCCTGGTCGCCCTAGTCGTCAGGATGAAAGGCCTGGCCTCCACTTGTAACATCCTTGGAGGCAAACAAACAAGTTGAAGCATTTTCCTGCGCTCCTATTTGCATCTGACAACAACATGCATCGACTTCTTGACTTGTCATACTCCGTCACTTCAATTCAGGTCGAGTGGAAAACAAGCCACATTCAAGACGATCCTGAATCAGCTTTGAGTTGCAAGGTCAACAAATGCACACAAGACACAAGCAAGCGGCTTTGCAAGCACTCTTTGCCAAGGCGTCATTTTTAGGTTGGGTTGCTTTGTCTACCTCCAAAGGCTTGCTAGTACATTTGCAATTTTGGACCGTATTCCCTGACAGCTGCAAAATGCAGCTTGCCGCAAGTTTTAGCGGCTCTAGTCTGACAGGCAGTTCAGCCAGTTGGCTGTGCTTCTGAGCTCTCCAGCTCAGCATGTCTTTGTGCATATGTGACATGCATGTACACACGTATGGGCCGTATGGGTATCACATGCTTTCTGCAAATTCCATTTATTGAACCAACTCACCATGGAGCATGGAAACACAGAGACACACCAAACAATACACCATATGTATCCGTTGGAACTCATCCCGAGAATCATTTACAATTTACACTTCACGCCAACTGGCATATCAGCCCTTCAAGAAGCAAAGATTTAGGCCATTGCCTCTGCCAACATCCTTCTGGTTGCCTCCATCGGATCTTCCTCTTGCTTCTCCTCTGCCTGTTCCTTCACGTAATCTTTGAATCGCAGCATCAGGACTGCTTCCAGGCGCTTTTCTGGATAGAGCTCATCAAGAGCATCTGCTTTCCACGAGCTGCCATCTTTTTGGATCGTGGCAACGAGCCAGACTCCAGTGGATCTAAGTCCTTCAGGCCTTCTCAGCCGCAACAACTCGGTCTTACCTTCTAAGACCTTGGCTGTCCAGGGTGAAGGACCTTTGGCAGTAGTATATCCTTGATTCGAAGAAGCATCATTGATGGTCTCTCGTGCCGCAAGTTGTGCTACCAACGCCACCAATGGCACGCCTTTCATTTCTGATAAATCCAATGTGTTTCCATCGATGATCACAGGTGGTCCACTGGTGGGGAACTGCCACCAGGAGCATTTTGGCATGGCGGCTTTTTCGTTGCCCATGTCATCTGTGGTGACCTTGGCAACTATGGACCCACCTTCACAAGGTGACGAGAGCAAGGGATCGAAGAGCGGTTTCTTTGGCGCAGGTTCGCGCAAAAAATCACCAAAACCCCTGGCTGCCCAACCAGGTTTTTGCTTTGCTGCTGGCTGTAGTTCCCGATCCCGTTCAGCTAGATATGCCGCACCGCTGGTTCGCTTCATTGGGCTAAAGTTTCTGACTGGATGGACGATTGAATGGTTGACTGAAAAGCATCTCTTTATGTACTTGATTGTACGTATGTACGTATATTCGTATTATATATGTCATCCATAAATCCCCATGACATGTGGCCTGCTTGTTACGTATTGTTCTCCGCAATAACCTGACCACTGCATCTGAAAAAATTGAGTATCCTTCATACCAAACAATGATATTGTTGGCCGAGAAATTGTGAGATATTGATAAAGCTTGAGCCACGGAACAATGCCTGTAGTATTCGGAAGCCAGTCGAGCTAGTTAAATAAAAAACAACCAGCACTCAACAAAGTCAAAGCTCGTACCAACATGATGGGACTTCAAAATAATTATAGATCATCCCTGGAAGACTGGTCTCCCTAAGACCAAGGGGTCACCGAGCCATCCACCAGGAGCACGGGAGCTGCATGGCGATTTCGTTCTGCGATCTGAGCAACAGGCCTCAAGCAATGGGAAGCAATGCGATGAAAAATACTGGACCAACACTTTATTGACAACCTCTTTGAAGCATCCGCATCCTCAGCGCCACACATCTGAGCAAGCCTTGGGTCGTTCATCCAAGTCACCTCAGGGCTGCCCAAGTCTCTTGTTTTCCGCCATCATTTCAGGTCATGCGACTCAAACATCTCAAACATCTCAAACCTTGGTTCTGACTTTGCTGATTTTTGCTGGGCGTTTTTTGGTCCGCTCTCTCCAAGCTGACCTCTTGCCACATCCCCACATAACATCCTCATCTATCTGTTGCATGTTTTGACACATGTGCGGTTGTTACCCAATCGATCCCAATCGTGTTTCTTCAAAGTAGACCAACTATTCGATATTATTCGATATGAAGCTGCTGTTGCAATGACATTGGACAATGTCGTGAATTTGCAGCCCTGATTTGCAAGTTTTCTATGTAGTTTTTGGCCAGAACAGCACAACTGTTTCTCCCACATGATGCTGCAAAATACTGTTGAAGACTTGTACTGTTTTCGAACAATATCCTGCCAAGTTTGGTGTAGCACATCGTTTTTTTACAGGCTAACTATATAAGTCGTCCTGATTCAGGAACCCGTTTGATTCTCTTTCTTTCCAAGAGCCTACGAAAAGGTTTGGGCCGCTTTCAGTTTGTTCCTGTTTTGAAGCGTCGCGGCACTGAGCACTTGGCATTGGCGCCACATGAGGCTGGAGCAGGATACATAGGCCCGAGCCTTCCAGCGCTAATGTTCCATGAAAAAACAATGCTTGACATTTCTGAAATGCTTTTTAGATGCAAATTACTGGCAAATTTGGTATGAAATGCAAAAAGGCTTACCAAGGGAAGTCTGGGCTCTGGACACATCATAGTCTGGCCTAACTCAGGAAAAAATGAACTGTTTCATTCATATACCCTCGCCTGACTCCCTGAGATAGGCACCTTCCAGGAATATCCTGAGCGAAAGGGTGCGACAAAGCACACTCAATTAAAAATATCATTGTCTATGGTTCTCATTCAGTCTCGAGCCATATTGTTTCGAAGGCAGGAACCAGCACCAGTCACATCTAACCTTGGCACTGACTTCGCAGAACCCTTTTGATCCTTAGAAAATGAAGTGAGGCATTGCAACATACCGGTGACTGTACGGTGACTGCATGGTGGTCAAACATGTGCCACGGCTCGAAGCTCGGCGGGAGACAGTTGGACCTGTGGAGTTGGTCTCAAGCCTATCAACGAAGCGCCACAGCAAAATCTCCAGCCGAGGTCATCCCAACGTGGGTCTGTAAGATCTATATAGATCTATATTATATAAATTTATATAACTATAATTAACTATATATATATAACTTTATATAACATAATAATACATTATACTGTATAACTATATAGTTCTATATAGTTCTATATGCACTTCTATATCGTTCTATATGCAATTATATATACAATTCTCAAGCTGCTGTGTTTAGGTAGGCTTGCAGCTCTCAAGGTTTAGGTTTGCTAAATGAGCTCACCTTAACGCCTTAAACATGTCTTGTCAAACGTCTTGTCATGTTTTGTCCACCATGCTTTGACTGACATGAGGAAGGTGCCTGCGCTCGCCAATGGCCACGGAGTTGGACTCTGTGCGTTGGGAGACCTGCCATGAAGGCCCACACCCACAACGCCGTGTCCCGCTACATTACCACGATATACGACGATATATCATGTGACACCAGGAAAATCACCAACTTCAATACCAGGTTCAATACCCGAACATTCCTTATACATCCTTATACATCCTTATATGTGCAATCTTAAACAGCGTGTACTGATGTACTTTGAGGACTCTGCACACCCGCAACACGTTTGAGAAAACGGTTGACAGAACAAACATCTACTCGCGCAGCGTGCACGCCACCAAGTTGTGCCAGTGCGGCGCTAGGTGTGCAGCACCTCAGCTGGGAAACACATCAGATCTGGTCTAGCAGCTTAGCAAAGAAGCAGCTAGAAGAAGCTGTGATTTCAATGATCCAAAATGATCCAAAACGAGCCGAATTTGCCCGCGCAAGGCACCTGGTACTTCTGTCGGATTTGGCAATGGCCGAGCATTCTGGCTCAATCGTTGGCTTGACAGCCTCGCACAACAACAATTTCTTGTATTCCCATGACCTAACCGTAGTACATATGCATGCAGCCAAGTAAAAATGTGCTTGGTCAATCAGTCAGAAAAAATGTCTCTGGTTCAGGTGTAAAGTCTGTGAGGCTGCTGCGGTGCCACCTGATTCATTGGATATGTGACCTGGCATTGATTCTTGATCCCTTTTACTGAATCTGTACCGTGCATCTACATTTCGACTGGTTTACAAGTGTGAAATCCAGAACGGACCTCAAGCCCATCACTCGTGGACGTCCTTTGTGTTGCATATTCAGAGTGAAGGCAAATCAGGAATGCCAAGATTGGCTTCTGTATGTCCAATCTCAGCTGAAAAAGTCCACAGTATCATCCCATGCAGCCATGCGTCAGAAAACCTTGGCTGCCAGAACCTGCAGAAGGTATAGATTTTCTGCCTGGAGGAATAGAACCTGCAGCCAAACCCGCCACCACACACGGTCACACACGAAACACCCAGAGGCTGCACAGGCAGACTTTGGTGGACTTCTATGCCTTGGCTGCTGATACCAACCTGCGGCACCTGGACAAGCGTCAGGTACCGCAAACCAATAGGATACTCAAAATACAACAATTCAAATGCATCACAGTATAGCAACATAGACCAAAAGGTTTGGCTTCCAATACGAATGATCCAACACCATGATGCGGAGGAGGACAAGGATGAGGATAAGGATAAATTTGAATCTGAAGACCTGAATATGCTATGTGTCTTATGAAATAAATAGAGATCTTATACAATTGTACGAGTACAGTGTTGTATGGTATTTTTCAGAGCAAGGGAACTACCAAACAGGACATGCGTATTTAGGAGCACCCCGTCGCAGGAACAAATTCAAACCGATACACCCTCCTCATATCTGTGGAACTACATATACTGTAATATTAGTTATATATTTATATATAATTATAATTATAATGCATTGTAATGCATTGTTCTCTTTACCTTTTAAGTCCCTATTCAAGGCTCAAATGTCCCAGACTGCAGGGTCTCGAGTCTATGTCAGCTTAAATGTCAAACAAAGTTGTCACTGCCTATTGCGACAGCTTGGACCATTCCTGCCTGCGGCATTACGCGGTTTACGCGGTCGCTGTTCGGCCTCTCAGGATCAGTTTGAATCTGATCTTCGAGGTCTGACGGTCAGCAGGAAAAGTTGCTGCCTTGGAGTTGGAACTTGGACTGAGCCGTTCTGCACAGGTGCTGCCGCTGGCCTGATTCAACATAGCAAAAATAGCTTGTGGATGCTGTATGCTTGTCACCCTTTCACCAGGGCTTCACCAGCGGGTCCATGCTGGTGGCTTGCTCACTCTTTGAACTGTGAGCCCAAAAACCGAGGGTGGTACTGCACTTTCCAGAAGGATGTGCTTTCCAAAGAATGAAAATCCTTCCGGAAGGCAACAAAACATCTTTCAGATCATTGCAGCCGCGAAAAAACCATCTGACATTCAGCAAGCCCACACCTCCATGCCGATGGGTGAGAGTTGAGCCCCGTAGCCGCTTCCAAAGGGCATAGAAGGCATGGATGGAAGACCAGCTGCAGCAGTAGCTCCAGCTGGAAAGGCCGTGGCTTGCAAGGAGTTTGAAGAAGGCGCAGGGACACTTTGCCTCGGAAAGTTTGATGGGGACGGGGGTGAGCACACACAAGCTAAACAGGGCCTAAGCAGCTTGTAGATATCTGCAAGTACCATAACTCCAACTTTTCACTGCAGCCCTGTGCAGCTTCTCAATATTTCAGCGCCCAGCATGCTGGGCAAAGCAGATCGAGACCTTCCAGAAAGTTTCTGCATGTTGCAACTGCCAAAGGACTTAGAAGGACTTACGGAAGGAAGGAAGCCAGGTTTTGGGGCAACTGCGTCCTTTGGTGGCATGGCTCGGTACTGCATTAGGACCCGCACGAAAAAATGCATAAGAGAGTCAAAAGAGTTCAAGCAAGTATAGCAAAACCGTCAGTATGAAACCTACGAAACAAACTGCGAGGATTAGGAAGAAAAGTTCCGTGCTCAGTGCTCTACAGACCGCAAGGATTAAAACCGCAAAAACTAAGAGGAGATAAAAGGAGAAGTCCTAGAGATCACACAGAAAAGGCAACCTGAGGCACTATCACTAACAGTCATGAAATCAGTCACTGAAACCGGGGAGGACTGCTTGGAAATTCTAGACTCCAATCTGAAGCAGGCTACAGCGGAATCGGACTGTCATGAACCACCAAAGACCCGCAAGTTATATACATCATACATGTGCCATCATTTGCCCATGTTGAATTCGAGTCCGAAAGTGCCTCCAGTCGTCAGAGTTGAATGCTCCAATGTCTCCCACAATCATCCTGCCATCTAAATCACAGACTGAACCGTCCTTTTGTTGAAGCCCAAGCAGAAGGCTGGAACGCCTCTGTGTTTCCTGCAGAGATCTTCCAAACCTCTGTGTCACAGGAACACGACACTGCACGATCTCAATCACATGTTCGCGGCACTTCGATCAAACGCACCGACAGTGTGCCAGCTAATCAGCTAATCTTGTTGACCCTTCTAAAGCAGACCTTTGGACCCTCCAAATCAACTCTTTGGCTGAACTAAGTTGCGAGCGGTCCATCAACCTCACCTCACAAACAAGTTGCTGCACAAAGTGCGTCATTGTGTCAGATGTTTGAGGCTTGCGGCCCATGCTCGCCCAAGGATTCCATGCCTTCCAAACATTAAGAACCACACGAAACACCAGAAAAAAGTCAAGTCAAGAAGTGGTCTGCGCTCTGTGGAAAGAAACTTTCACAATTTGTCCAAGCAATTTGGTCCCAAGGCTAGCTGCGTCTCACCTGCTCCACAGGAGGGTCGGCAGCAATGGTCTCCGTTGGAAATGGATTCCAGACCTTCCGAGAATGCGCCAATAAAAAATGGCCCCACTTTGCAGAAGCAGCTGTGAATTAGCATAAATTTTCCCAGAAAGACTGGGAGACCAGACCTGGGGGACCTGTGCCTGGGAGGCTGGTGGAGAGTCCCTCATGGACGCCTGGAAGATGTAGCGTGGCAGCTGCGAGAAGCTTTAGAACTTGCTTGTTTCACAGCTCTTTCCCACAAAAACTTGTGCCAATGGCCACTTGCTCGTGGTCATGATGTGTTGCAGCTACAGAGTGGCTGTGGTGTCAATGCGGCCCTTTCATGGTACCCAAAATAGTTGGCCCAACGCAGAGCAACACATTGGTTTGACATAACTATCCAAAATATCAAAAATGGTTTGATGCTCTGCGCATATAGGCTGGTTCTGCAGTAAGGAAGTGACTCTCCACTACCACAGCGCCATGTGTAGTCTCAACCATCATTTTCATTCCAATCAAAACCCAACAAACAAAACGTGTCCCGTCCTGAACAACACCTGGAAGACTGAGATATGGATTCGACGGATTCGATTGAACTGAAGGGCTCTTCATAGAAGAGGCATCCTGAAGCTAAAAGGTGTCTTTGGTCGCGACCAAGTCTTTGGTCAAACAAACACCAAGGATGTCAAGGTTTCATGGCATGGTGAGAATTCTTACGGTACACGGTTCTCTGTGTTGAAACCTGTCAATACAGCTTCGCCATATCCCTAAACTTGTTATATACATGTACATATATATATATTATATATATACTTTATATACTTTGCACATGGAAAAATCTGAACCGTGGGGGTCCGCGGGAGCCGGGGGGTGGTCACATTCCAGAGATTAAACTGCTTTCGCATGCACTGCCTGCCTCATTTCCTCGTGGTGTTGCGGCCTTTTTTCGTAAGGCAATGGTTGAGGGATACACTTTGCGGAAGGTCTGTACCGTGCAAAGGCTCTCAAGCTAGGGCGGCAGCAGAGGCAGCAAATGCATCTGAGACAACATGTTCATCGCAATCTTGATTGATCATGACAAATCAAGATGAACTAAGATAAGTCAAGGTAAATCAAGATGAATCAGATGCAGCAATATGAACGGAGATGAATCAAGCAGAAGAATTCTCTGCCAATGTTCTCGTCATGTGGCCCCTTGCTGGTTCAGCGCCTTTCGCATCAGCGAAGCCACGCATCCCGGACCTCAGCACAGCATTCCCCAAGGAGAACAGGCCGCAAAGCACCGGAGAACTCAATATCTTGGCGCAATACATTCCAGCAGCATAAGATGCCTTCCAGGGACACCACGTTCAAATTGTGTACTTGAGGCTGTTGCTAAAATATCAAACTGGGGTCAAACAAACTGAATGTAATGGCCTGCGAATGAAAACCATCAGTAAAATTTGATGGGAACTCACCCTGGCGAGAGACCTCAAGCAACACCGTGAGTCACTGTGTAAATTTCCAATTCGGCGAAGCGTTCAAAAAACAACAAATTCTTTCCAAAACATTCCATCAAAAACTTTCGATCTTCTTGCTGGAGTCTGCTCTGATGACACCTGGCAGTTCAATCTCCAAGACACCTTTGCAAAGACTGGGAACAGATCCAAGTCTTCATTGTCTTCATTGTGTCAGAAACTGAGTGTGGTGCAGGTGGAACTGCTGGAGGAATCTGGGCAATCTGTGTCTTCTCCTGACCTGGAAGACAATTACAAAAAGGAGGATCTGAAGCAGGAAGCACGTGCCATGCATAGAAATGCACACGTGCATCACTTAAGAACATTATTTTTTACCTTTGCATCGCTTTATGTTCCCACAAAGTGTGATGCAAGTTGCGCCTCCTGCAGATGTGCCTCCAGAGGAATAGTCCTAGGCTTCGCTGAACTCGTACAACACAAAGAAAAGAACTTGGGTCGTCGTCCATCGCCGTCCATCACCGGCCCTGGAGGCTATGCCCCTAGGCTGCTGGCCGAGCGAGCTGGTCCCGACGGAGCTGGTCCCAGGGGCATCTCTGCGAAGGCAGCCTGAACATGTCGATGAACACTTTGCAAAACTCGTCAAACTCGTCCAACATGTCGCTTGCAGTGCAGCAAAGAGTGGCAAATCAACGGCACTTCATTATCTTGATCGTGACATCGCGTTGTATATGGCACATCCCCGCCTGCATCGATGCACTCGCGAAGCCTGGGGTGAGTGCAAATGATTCTGTGCATTCTTTGGACATGCATACAATACATATATATATATAGCATGTTTTTTGCAGAGGCCTTCCCAGCAACTGTTTTACAATGGTAACTTTCGCGTGTGCATCTCTGTGCGTGTGTACAAGTACCCCACCCTGAACCACTATTCTGGCACAGTTTCTGACATACCATCTGGAAGTATATATGGCATATTTTTATTCTGACATTCTACTTGACAATATCTGACATTCTTTTTGGCATATATTTTGACGTTCTATGTGACATTCTATCTGGCATCTATTCTGACATACTTTCTGGCATATATTCTGGCATTCTATCTGGCATCTATTCTGACATTCTATCTGGCATTCTTTCTGGCATATGTTCTGACATTCTCTCTGACATTCTTTCTAGCATATTTACCTGGCATATCTTCTGACATTATTTCTGGCATTCTATCTGCTGTATCTTGGGAGATTCTTTGAGGTTGAGGTCCAGCTGGGAACACTGCGATCTGGCGCTTGCAGCTGAGGTCCGGCGGGGATCACTCTGATCCTGTGCTTGCTGTTCGGGTCCGGTGGGGAACACTGCGATCTAGTGCGTGCAGTTGAGGTCCGGCGGGGACCACTCTGATCCTGAGTTTGCTGTTCGGGTCCGGCGGGGAACACAGCGATCTAGGGCTTGCAGTTGAGGTCCGTCGGGTAACACTCTGATCCTGGGTTTGCTGTTCGGGTTCGGCGGGGAACACTGCGATCTAGAGCTTGCAGCTGAGGCCCGGCGGAGGAGGAGGCGGAGGAGGCGGAGGAGACGGGAGGCAGGCGGGACAGAATCTAACAACCCTCACCTGGCAGGTGGAGAAAAAAAATGTGTGTGTGTGTGTATGTGTCTGTAAATAAATATATATATATTTATTTATATTTATATCTACAGATATATGTGTATGTATATATAAGAGTATATGTGCATACTATGCATACTATGCATATACAAAATATTTTAAAATCATGGAAATTTTGATTTCATCATCAAATTCCTGAAATGTCGGGAACCCTTCCAGAGTCCACCTTGGGACGGGCTTTGACTAGCTGCGTACGAGGCTTCTGCCAGCTCCTCGTCATCCTGAAAGTCGCAATGAAAACTTTGACGCTTCATCGAGCCAAACGCACATCTTCAACAGTCAAAGCAACATCTGTCCATGGATGCCACATGTTCGGGATTGTTGAGGCATTTTTTGCCTTGACTGGAAGAAGTGTCACTGATTTTTAGACATTACTTCTCTGCAGCAATTCCGCAAACACAGAGTGACGATCTAGGAAGCTAGGGGACAAGCTATGTCTGCACAAGGCAGAAATGCTCCCTCATGGGGAACCATTCCTCCGACTGGTGCTTCTTCGCCTTCTGGTACCCAAATCCACACCCTTAGCAACTGCGCCGAAGAACGCTCGTTCGGCGAGAGACTGCTTCGACATTCGGTCACTAAGGGGCAAGCCCATCTTGCCCGAAAGGTGGAGGCGGTGGAGGGGGTAAGACCTGTCAAGAAAGGTAGCACCACCATCTGCAGAGCTGATCATGTTGTATTACGTGTCATAACATGTTTGCATTCATATGTTTGCCGTATCTTGCCTCCCATATTGCTGACCATCCTGCAGGTTTCGGAGGTCTTTCCCACAACACTATTGGAGCGGCCTCGCGCAGCAAGGATTCTGATTTCTGGCATGTTCGGTCACAACGACGCTATTGCATGCCCCTGCTACAAGTCCTAACTTGCCAACACATCGCCAGTTGCCAACAGGCCTCTTGTGTGGTTGGAGATTGAACAGTAGTTTGAATTGTTGGTTTTGGCGCTGCTGCAGCTTGTACTGCTGCAGCTTGAAGTGGAGTATTTTGGACAGGCCTCAAGACTCCAGCAAAAAAACACATCGCAGTGGCCAGCAAGTCTTGCAGTAGCTGCATAGTTTCACTCAAAAGTCTCTCCGGACTTGTCAGATCTTGTCAGTTTGAATTGGCATCTGCGGTGTGTTGCATTCCACTCATCCTGCTTTTGTCTTCAGGACGCATGATCCGTGTCTCGCACGAAGCAAAGATTATATATATAATGCATTTATCATGCCATAAGGTAAACATATTATCCCGGCGGGGACTATCCACCAGAGGCAGCTTCAGGAGTTGATAGTCATCAGCCGCAGGTCAAAGACAAGCAGGCCTGCAGCGACTTGAGAGACATAGTCATAGACGGCATCTGTAGGTGCTAGACGCTGCTAGACTGATGTTACACATGTGATACCAAGACTTCAAGCTCCAAGTGGAAAACCCTACAAAGTTAGAATATGTAAGCTGCGCGCACCTGGCGGCAGCCCGCGACTTTCTTCAGCAGTCGCTCCGAAGCCAAGTTTGCCAGGGATCCAGAAACGTCGCGTCTCCCCTGAACGACAATCAAAATCAACGAGACATCTTTTGCCGCCTATGTGTGTACCTATGCACCTGTGTGTGCTCGTATGCTTGTATACCTCCCACTTTTGCTATCAGACGGGAAGGACTCTGGGCACGATACCCTGATAGCAACTTCAGTTTCTGGCAAGCCTTCCACCATTAACTGCAGAGCTTCTTTCAGGCCTTCAATTGGTACCTCAGGGTTCCAACGCGCATGCACACACACACACACTCGCTGAGAACGTCTGAGAACTGTCATTGCGAATTCTATTGTGGAATGCATCGGTCGTGCAAAACAACACTTCAATTATTCCTGATCAGAGGAGGAGAACACATAGGATTGATCAGTCACGAGGATCCAGTGTAAGACGTCTAAATAGATAAATCGGTAGTTGTCCTTTCACCGCAATCTCAGATTGCGCCAATTGTGCAGACATGGGAAAAAAGGCTGGGCGGTTATTGGCTTGGCCGCTTGCCATACAAATTGAAAATCGGAGCAGGTACACAGCGCTGATCAGGTTCTGCACCCCATGCAGTCAGATAGCTTCGTTGGACGTGGTCCCTAATTGCATGCCACGTCCCCCTGCAAAACTTAGAAGTTCTACATCTCTTCAGATGGTTCGCACACACGCCCCGCAGCAGCGGGGCTTTTTTAAGGCTCCGACAAATGAGATTGAAGGTGAAGATGAAAGGGAAATGGAAATCAGATGACGATGGATATGAGATGACAGCTACTTAAAGGGGACACGAGACGGGGAATTCAAAAGAGGAAAGGAAAAAGGGAAAACACCAACACCAACACACCTAGCCCAGAGCGGGCAAACCCTGAAAGGGCTCAACACACCTAGCCCAGAGCGGGCAAACCCTGAAAGGGCAAGGGAAAAGAAATTGCGGACGGTCGACGGGCCAAACACAGACCAGAGGAGGGGGGGGCGGCAGAAGCGCCTGACACAACCTACAAGGCGAGAGCCAAACCTACCTCGGCACGCGAAGGACCCAAACCTGACATAGAGAGGGAGCACGCATGAGAAAGGGGACCAATGGGGAACTAGTTGATGAAAATTCATGCACACAAACGCATGCAAGAATCGCGATAAGGCTCAAAGCCCTCAAAGTTCAGGTCACAACCCTCTGGACGGCTTAAGTGGTCAACCCTCGAATTAATGCACAACTGAACCTCACCAACGACCAAAAGAAAGCGATACCACACCTGAAAGGCATGTCCTGAAGCCTGAACCTTGTCATGTTGCAATGCCAGAAGCTGGTCAGTCTCTCAATCAAAGTTGAAAAAGGAGGTTTCCACGGCTGACAAAAGGACATGAAGCTCGGTACTGCGGCCAGTTACACCAGCGACAAACGACAGGGTGAAAAGCGAAAGAAGACGAAGCCCGGTACTGCGGCCAATTGTTCAACACGTCGACATTCGACAGGGTGAAAAGCGAAAAATGGCCGGCTGCTTCACTTTTTTTAAACGAATTACTAAGTTAAAAGTGTAGATTCAGAGATCAAGTTGGAGGATCAGACGTTCTAGCTAGACAGGTATTCCCCGAGGGGATCACAGCATCTTGTCGAACCGACGTGAGTAACACACTTGCTCAGAACTGTCATTGCGAATTCTGTTGTGGAATGCATCGGTCGTGCAAAACAACACTTCAATTATTCCTGATCAGAGGAGGAGAACACATAGGATTGATCAGTCACGAGGATCCAGTGTAAGACGTCTAAATAGATAAATCGGTAGTTGTCCTTTCACCGCAATCTCAGATTGCGCCAAGTGTGCAGACATGGGAAAAAAGGCTGGGCGGTTATTGGCTTGGCCGCTTGCCATGCAAATTGAAAATCGGAGCAGGTACACAGCGCTGACCAGGTTCTGCATCCCATGCAATCAGGTAGCTTCGTTGGACGTGGTCCCTAATTGCATGCCACGTCCCCCTGCAAAACTTAGAAGTTTTACATCTCTTCCGATGGTTCACACACACACATTGTCCCCTATTAATCTCAAGCGGCTGAGATATTTCAGTACAACAGTGAAATGTGGTGGAGAAAGCGGCTGGTATACCCTTTTAATCTGTTGATAAAATTGTGTTGTGCTCCTGAAGAAAGGATTTTGGGTGCCCTCTCCTCGCGAACGAGAAAGGTGTCTTGCGGGCCAAAAGATGTTGACAGCACCAAATCTCCGTTTGAAGACCATCCGTTGTACAAGGCTGTAACGTTCCTGAGTCGTGCAAGGCAAGACAAAATATTGTATCTGGTAGCTGCCAATAACAAGCCGATCTCCAATTTGTTGGTTAACCGCTAAATTTCCTCAAGTTGCGACTCGAGCTGAGGATTGACTTTTCCTGTTCCTGGACATGGCCCATGTATTCTAAAGCTAGCAAATGTCGCAGTTTACCTTCATGAAATGGTCAGTGCAGGTTGTGACAAATAGAACACAAAACTATTTCAGCACCACGCCTGGTTTGATCTTTCGGAAACCAAGACCGCTTGGAGTGAACTCCTAAACACACGATCCCAATTCAAACTCCACACATGTCTCGCCTTCATCTTGCTTTTTTCAAACTGTCTTTGTGGTGTTCACTTAGTTTATCTATTTTCATTTGAATATCTCTGCAATTTCTTTCCGAAGGAACAAACTCGCTTCCAAGCGGTGCTGACAAAACTGCCATTAAAGAGGCCCCGGCAGCATCTTTGGGGGGTTGTGTGAGCCTCAGATGGATTCTCTACGTACTGACGTACTGTTCAATGTCAAAACGACACCTCCAAATAAAGAAGGACATGGATGGTGTGACAGATGGAAATGGGCGTTTTGTCCGCAGTGGTTGCAGCCAGAAAGCAATAGTGTGAAGCAGTCCAAGGTGGATACAAGCACTAAATTCTAGAGATTTCCAGAGACACAGTCGCGTAACGATGAAACAATAAACACGGAAGCTTGGAGACTACGCGCAAATCAAAGCTGATAATTCCTCGAATCAAAAAGAAAGCCTTTGCTAGGGCACATTTCTTGGCTGGCGGTTGGTCAGCTCATTTGCAACGAAGCAACTCTGCTGGAGGCTTTGGCTGCCTAAGTGAACCGATTCTTCTCCAAGAATTTTCGAGAGGAAGTTGAGTTGGGATTCTCTGTGTGGATGTCAGAAATGTCTGATGGATAGTTGGGACGGCGGCTTTTCAATCGAGTAGAGCTCAATGTCAAACACAAGTGGGCCGGTGGGCTTGGCAGTTTCCTTAGCACAAGGAAGAAGTCAACTGCATCCTCCAGGCGCTAAGAGAGCTCCATTTCAAGCTTCATAGCAAGATGTTGAACTTAGCTAGATAACATTGATTAGATAACATTGATTAGAAATTACTGGGCATTTCAGCAGAGACAAACCAAGTCACAAAAAGCACATCTGTGGGAAGTTTCAATGGGACGAAGTGACTGCATGCTCTGAATGTTGCTGAGCCATGCTGAGCCTTGAGCTGTCTCATTGGTTCCAAAGGCGAGCTCAGCAGGGATCCAGAATCGCCGAGATTCACCAGGTGCCATCAACTGCAGTCCTCTGGCCGCTGAAACAAGGTTGCAAACATTTGGACGTGTAACTGCTTGAATGAAATCCAAAGAACAAACCCTTGCGACGAAAGCTGTTCAGATGTTCAGACTATGCCTGTGCTTTGTCTGGCTTTGCACTCTTGTTGATTTCTCTTCTTGGAACCTGGGAGCTGTCTGAAAAAAAAAGACAATCTATAACTAAGGTTGCTCAGGTTCTTGTCTCCTTCCGTCCAGCCCCTCATCACGGAGTCTACTCGAACAAGCCGCTTCTCATTGCGGCTGCTATCAATCCTTGGCAATGCAGAACCATGCAGCTTTGAGAGCCACAAACGTGACAAAATCCAAGCTGATTGCATTGCATAGGACACAATCTCGAGCCAAGCAACATTTTGCCGCCAGGTGTCCATCCAGTGTAGTCAATCAAGACCTGCAGAATATCAGGTAGCATTGGTAGCATGAACAAAACATGCAAAACATGCAAAACAGATCAAAAGAGTGCATTCCTACTGAAATACTAGCGCTGGAGATGGCCTTGTCATATGGCTGGGGCCTCTGGCAGTCAGGATTCCTCGGCACAAACTGCAATTGCTTTCACGTGGACAGCTGTGGGTGTTTCCCATGAAGGTAGCATATTCTTGGTATGCCCCTGCATTTGGGGGTGCCTGGGAGCACAAAGTACTGGGAGTGACCAACCAAGTCTTGTTGAACCCCAGAATCTACTAAGCCGGACTATGCAAAGCATCCGAAGCTGCAGCCTCCAAACCCAAATGGTGTATTTGAGACGTACTTTGCGTAAAGATGTTCTTGATGGCACAGCAACTTTGCTCACTTCTTTTATCGAACTATATAAATGTTTGTTCTCATTGTACCTGTGTTGTGTATTATTTAAACGGGAGATAGAACCTCTAAAAGAGTGGCTGCTTGCATCAAGGCACACATATTTCTGCCCGTCCAACTGGTGTCTGCGGCAGGCGCATCCATTCAATGATCGAAGAAGTTTGTCTCTAGTTTGTTCTCTGTGTATGTCTGTTGTACTTGTTGTGATAACTACTTGTATGTTCCCGATTTTTTCCCCAAAATGTTTGCAAGAAGAGCACCTGAAAAACGAGGCTTGTTTTTCAAATCTGATTGGAGAAACCAGACTGAAGCCGCTGAAACCATCATTACACCGGCATAGACCCCAAATAGAAAAGGTTTCAGAAACGTTTCTTTACGTCGTGCGAATATGTTGCTGCAATAGCGGAATCGCTGCTTCCCAAACGTTGGAACCAATGTGTCCCAATCTTAAAACCACAGGTTCCGCGTTCGAGGAATTGCTAGTTCCCCAATATTCGAAACAATGCTTCACAATCTTGGAACCGCGTGTTCCCAATTCAAAGGAACTGAACCAATGCCTCCCAATCTTGGAACCACGGGTTCCCAATTTGAAGAACTCCTGGCTCCCAAACCTTGGACCCAATGCTTCCCAATTTTGGAACCACGGGTTTCCAGTTTGAAGAACTGCTCGTTCCCAAACCTTGGAACCAACGCTTCAATCTTGGAACCTCAGGTTCCTAGTTCTCTAAACGAACGGTTCCCAAACCTTGGAACCAATGATCCCCAATCTCGGAACCCCGGGTTTCCAGCTTGAGGAACGCATGGATCCCACATGTTGGAACCAATGCCTCCCAATCTTGGAACCACGGGTTCCCAGTTTGAAGAACTGCTGCTTCCCAAACCTTGGAAGCAATGCTTCCCAGTCTTGGAACCATGGGTTTCCAGTTTGAAGAACTGCTTGTTCCCAAACCTTGGAACCAATGCTTCAATCTTGGTTCCTAGTTCTCCAAACGAACGGTTCCCAAACCCTGGAACCAATGATCCCCAATCTTGGAGCCTCGGGTTCCCAATTCTAGGAACTAGCGGTTCCCAAACGTTGGAACCGACGCTTCCCAATCTTGGAACCTCGGCTTCCCAGTTCTAGGAACTAGCGGCTCCAAAACCTTCGAACCAACGCTTCCCAATCTTGGAACCTCGGATTCCCAGTTCTCGGAACTAGCGGTTCCCAAACCTTCGAACCAATGCTTCCCAATCTTGGCACCTCGGGTTGCACAGATTCTCGCACACGCATTTACATTCCGATCTGCAAATGTGACTAAAAAAAGCACTGCAACATGTCAGATGTTGACACACACCAAAAAAAAAACCTGCTTAGCCACTGCCCTCGAGACAAGGGCGTCCACAGGAGGCTGCTAATGCACAGACCTCCTCCACAGCACCTTGCAGCACCCTCCACACCACCCCGACAGCACCCTGACAGCACCCTGCACCCTCCACAGGGCCCTTTCACAGCATCCTGCAGGGCACCTTGCACAGCACCTTGCACAGCACCCGGCACAGCACCCGGCACACCCTGCACAACATCCTACACACCACCCTGCACAGCACCCTGGCCAGACTTCGCCACCGCATGAAAGCATCGCCCTGGCCAGACTTCTCCACCTCCACCGCACGGCCTACACCGCCGAAACAGGAAGCACCCTGCAGAGCACGTTTGCCAGACCGCGCCACCGCAGTTTGGACAGCAGCCGCCCAAGCAGCCTGACAGCCTACACAGACCCTGCACAGCACCCTGCAAAGCACCTTTGCCAGACCTCGCCACCGCAGTCTGGACAGCAGCCTCCCAAGCAGCCTGCACAGCACCCTGCATAGCACCCTTGCCAAACTTGGCCACAAAGTTCGCCACCGAAGACCTGACCTTTGAGAAGTAAGAACCCCTATAGCTTCCAGCTATCTGGGGAAAAAAACAAATAGTTCTCCACACTTGAAGAGTGTTTAAGCCTGGAGTCGTCAACGGAATGGACTTTGATAAAGCACAAGTAGGTCTCAGCAGCATCTTTGATGCTAAACCACCTCGGTGACGAATTGTCAAGAATCTGACAGAAAGGAAACAAGCTGTTGTTCCATCATCACCTGTGACTGTGAACAGGGCAGAATTTTGGGTGACAAAAAGCATCTTGCTATATCCACTACAATTATATGTATGTCTTATCTATTCTTATTTATATATTATCTATATGAAATTCCCGTTTTTCTTTTCCTGTTTTTCCCTATTTTTTGCCGTGGCACTCGGCAGAATTTCTGCGTCTTTTGGAACCGTCGCCACATCCGGCGGAGCTTTTGGATCAAGGAAGCTCAAGTCAAAGCCTGACGAGCAACGAGAAGGTGCAATAATTGGCGATAACAACAACGAGAAACGAGAAGTCGCCATAACTCTGCAGGCAAAACCTAGGCACAGTGCAACAGTATATAGAAGGATTAAGAAAGGTATGCAAGGGTCTAGTATCTGTAACAGGTGGTGCCTGGTTGGCGTTTGGTGACCTCTTGCCTTGCACTTTGGGGAACAAAACCAACTTTCACTTGATTGCTAAAGATTACAGTAGAAAAATCGCTGGATTCTCACACATAGATTGTGAACACACAAAGAAAGCCGGCGACTCATGCGTTAGATCGGACACAATATCAGAAACCTGTCCTTGAGCCTGTGCAGAAGTTGGCATTGCTGGTGCGCAAGAAGCCAAGCGAAGAAGCTCTCTCCTCCTGCCAGTGAAAGCTCTTGAGCTGTAACTTCACACTTTGAAAGGTTAAAGATGGCGGTCACAGCGGTTAACATGGATAAAGATTGCAACCTCGGCGTCACAGAGAAACTTCGGAGGCGATTGCACGCCTGAACGGCCAGGGACTGCCTGGCAAAATCGTAGCTTCGAAGCCATATCTGCACAGCCTTGGGACAAGCGAATTCTGCCAAATTCAGCTGCCATAACAATAGCAGACGTGTTTTCAAAGTATTCACAGGAAGTTGGGATACACTTCTTGCGATTGCACTCTGACCATGTGTACTGTGCAATCAACTTGAGTCTGCCACGCGGCAATGCCCAAGCAAAGTAAAAAGTTCGCACATGGCTGTCTTCGACGCATTGGCAAAGACATCTGGAGATGAATTTACGCTTGGCTTGAGCAGCAAATTATTATGTTGATTAGAACCGGAATCATGTATCAAAATGTATCAAAGCATTTGTAGCGCTGTACTTCATGCTTCAATCACTCGAATTTGGAAGAAACTAAATCTACGCTCTGCTGATGCTGCAAGTTAGTTAGTTCTCTGGCCAACCATTCAAAACATCAAGTACCTAAAGGCCTATAAGTAAAATATCCAAATATCATGTGTCCAAAAACAAAGCCACTAAGTGTTCTTTAAACTTTGTTCGAGCCTATGGCCACAGACAGTTCCTATGGCGGAATCTTGGGTTCGGACAAAGAGGTACCACCCACAGCTAGACATAGCTAGACTTGGTTGTGTGATCTGAGAATCAGGCTGGCACTGCTGGCACTGTGCCCCATGCAAAGCCCTTAGTCAACATGTTTAGTGAAAGTTTGAAGCCGGTTGGCGTGCCAGCATTCCTAGGCCACGCTGAGACGATGACCAAGGACCCCAAGGACCTTCTGGGCGAGGAACATGTATTGGGTCTGTATCCTCGCGGGCAAAGTTCCACAAGTCCCTGCCATGGTGAACTGCCTCGGTGAGACATTTGGCAGAAAGAAAAGAAAGAACGAGTGAACCGAGTGAACCGAGTGAACCGAGTGAACGAAAAGGAAAACCCATGGAACTGGCCCCGAAATTGTTTCTACATGAATCTGTGTGCACCAATTGCAACGGTTGCAACGTTAGTCTGGGTGCTCCACAACTGCCATACTTCCCGTGCCACACGACTGACTTGCTCTGAGAGTTTCTGTGGATTTCCCCCTCCTGTCCTTCGAACGTGAAACTGACTCACAAAAACTGCGTGGTGAACTGCACTGGAAGTTTTGGAAGTTAAGATGACTGGTGGGCCAGCTGTTTGCCTAAACGGCTTCGAGGTCAGGCATTCGCATTCGTCGCTCGGCTCAGGTTGCCACAATACAACTATATACAAGCCACCTATTCCAGCATTGTTGTCGGAACTTAGAGATTGGACAGTCTCTGCAATCATTTACCCATGCTAGATTTCAACATAATTTTGGTTCGGTAGTCCAGGCGTTACACTCCGCTTGGATGTTTTTGGCATGGTGTCCTCAAGCAATCGCGACAGCAGCCTTTCTCAACTTTCTTGTCCGGTCCTAGCTTGCCCAACCACACTTTTTGCAGTTGGTTTCTGCCTAGAGCCAAAGATTGTGGAGGCTGAGTTTGGAAGAGTGTGCTCATATACCTTCACTACCATGTTGTAAGATGCTGCAACTCCTTTCAGATTTGAGGCTTCATGGCAAAGGAATGTCTGCAGTGTACTGTATATGTTGTGCTTCTGTACGTCTTGGTCTTGTGAGGTTTTTTCCCGAATGCGTAGCGAAGGGTTCTTGTTGATTACCTGCTCTTGGCACGACCTCCCAAATTCAGCCCCAACCCTTCCCTTTCAAAACAAAGCCTGGCAGCCTAATCACAGCACAAACAGATTTGAGAAGGAGTGCTTCACTGACCCCACTGTACAGGCCCTCAAACGGGTCCAAAGTGGCCTTGATCTAGAGTTTCGTGCTCTGTATTCGAAGCACTGCAAGTTGCCTCCATTTCTTCGACTAAATCTTGAATGTTCTTGTCCACCTTGTCCACCTTTTCCACCACAACAGTGTCCTCCAGCACTGCCCCAGAAGCAAAGTCGAAACTTGCTGCCATGGAATAGTTAGACGATTTGAGCTGCTGAGGTGTTCCCAATTTGAGCTGCTGTTCTTTGACCTGGCTAAGGCCTTGGCATCGCAAGCATCCTTGCCAACAAGCATGCCTGCGTCCTTCTGGAACTTGCTGGCGCCTTCGAAGCCTCTTGCCCCGGGCTGGGGTCTCTGGGATCTTGTCTGCTTCACTTTTTACAGCTTCAAGGACTTGAAACACCTGAGCATTCACGCTCTCTTCGATACTTTTCACAAGACTTTGGAGGGAATTAATGTCAGCCTGGAAGTTCTGTCGCAAGAGCTGGAGATCGGATTCACGGTCTTCATTTTGCTGCTTAATTTTGCCAAGAACAGCATTGAGGACACTCTCTGTCTCAACCTTGACAAGGTCTGCTTGCAAACCTGCCCTACTCACAGCTTCCTCTGCACTTCCCCGACGGTCAGAAATTTTCCCAGTCACATCTCGAAACTGTCGTTTTGTGGCGGCTTGATGATTTGAAATGCGCTCTTCCACTCTGGCGATGTCTGCCTCGGACTGCTTCTGGATATTCTGAATGTCGTCGAGAAATTGTTCCAAGACTTCCTTATGCGCAGAAATTTCCTGGCAACGCTTTTGATCTTCCTCCGCCAGGCGATCAAGACTTCTTTGCATCTCAGGCTTCAGATCTTGGATGCTCGAAACTTCTTTTCGGAGCTTAGCAATCTGCTCCCACACCTCTTTCATTTCTTCACCTCCAAGGTTCATCACAACGCATCCTTTACCATACGTTACATATGCATACATACGCAGTAATGTTTCCTGTGAAGTGAGTGAATGAGGATGGGTGGGTGACTGGACGGCGTAGTGCTAACAGCTTGCATCAGACTTGGTTCATAATCTTTAGATCTCTTTCGCAAGTATCACACATACAGGAAGCCCGCTTAACCTTATCGGATTCGATTTGAGAACGAAGACTATTTGCTCGCCTACGGCAGCCTTGATCATCTCAGCCAGGTTGCTTTCGTTCCTGTTCACAGTGCAGAGTATTGACATCTTGAAACAAACAAAATCGTTTCGTCTCATCTCGTCTCATCTCGTCTCAACGCTGTCATCAGAAAGCCCTGTTGCAAAGGTGTCGGCCTGGGCTCCAGTGTGTCCTGCATTGACTGCACATTTTATCAGGCAACCAGGAAAGACATATAAAGGGAACCTTTTTGTTTGGTATTCGATCGTTCTCAAACAAGAAGTAGCCTAGCAACCAACACGTTTGTGTTTTTTCAACCACATGAGTACATCCGCTGAAATGGACAAGTGCTGGTGCTTCTTGCCTATGAGTCTGGTTCTGTCTTGAGTCTTGACATTTTTCTTCACAAGCAAATTGATTTGAACAATTCCTGGCATGTTCATTTGAATCAATTTGGAACTACGATAGTGCCACACTCATTTTTCATGCAAAGTCCTGTCGGTATTTGCTGAGTGGACAAGGATATCAAGAGATTTCTCCATGATTGAATTTATTTGCCTTGTTTTGGTTTAGGGTTTGGGGTTTAGAGTTCTTATGAATGCACTGGATCAAAATGTAACGCGAGACCAAGTGTCAAGCCTGCCAGGTATTGTGTCAGAACAAGTTCCAAAGAAAAAACAAACTTGATGAGTCATTAGAATTGACTTGGCTAGCAGGAATGCAGCCACATGATGCCGAGTCCATTCGTCGGGTATTAAGTTGAACAAGAACTCTATGGAGATCGCGAAAAAACGCAGTTTTGGAGAGTGCAATGCAAAATTTGACTATCACAAGCAATGGCAACCATTTCTTTCTCCAGGGGTCTACCGTCGGTCTACCTATGCTTTTAGTTTTTGCAAAAAAAAAATGTGTGCCGGTTTTTCTTCACAAACAAAAACGGGTCTGCCCATGTCTGCCCATCCTGTGGAGGAAGCTCTAGAGCGCTTCCTGGATGTTCAGCCATGGCCTTGCAGGCTGAAACAAATCCACAAGAATTAAGGGCATACTAAGAAAAGGATATAATGTTGTGTATGTGTATATATATAGTATCTAATGTTACTGTAATTCATGCATGTATGTACATATCTCATCTATGCAAATCCATATTATTGTACATATTTATTTGAAGATGGATGGATGGATGGATGGATGGATGGATGGATGGATGGATGGATGGATGGATGGATGGATGGATACATAGACATAGATAGGCAGACAGTGACAGACAGACAGACAAACAGACAGGCAAACAGATAGATTTGCATATGTATATATATATACATATATATGTGCATAAGTATCTAGTTTAATTTACATGCATGTAAATATAAGTGTTGATAGGATGTAAATATGTTTTTTTTTACATTCTTGTGAAGATGATATTGCATATGTATACATGTATATACCCATGTATTTGTACAGGTATTCTACATGTTAAATGTTTATGTATTCGCATGGACATGTAAACATAGTCTAGTACTTGAAAGTATTTGAAAAAACATCTTACATATATTCCAGCTCATCTTCATAAATATGTGTCTGTGTGACTGTGCGTGTGGCAGCTGAACTGCTTTCCGGATTCCTTCATTGCATGGATTGCACGGGGGAAACAAGACGTGACACTGTCCACTCGATCTGCAAAGGTCAGCGGCCTCGACTTCTGAAGTGACAAAGCCTTGCTGCATGTTTTCTTGCGAACCTATTTCCTTGCAGGCACGCCCAAACAGTGCCGTAGCAAAGAGATCCATAGCAAAATCACTTTGTGTGCCGGTTTTTCTTCACAAACAAAAACGGGTCTGCCCATGTCTGCCCATCCTGTGGAGGAAGCTCTAGAGCGCTTCCTGGATGTTCAGCCATGGCCTTGCAGGCTGAAACAAATCCACAAGAATTAAGGGCATAATATGTATATATATATATATTATAGCTAAGATAAGGATATAATGTTGTGTATGTATATATATATATATAGTATCTAATATTACTGTAATTCATGCATGTATGTACATATCTCATCTATGCAAATCCATATTCTTGTACATATTTATTTGAAGATGGATGGATGGATGGATGGATGGATGGATAGACAGATACATAGACATAGATAGGCAGACAGTGACAGACAGACAGACAGACAAACAGACTGGCAAACAGATAGATATGCATATCTATATATATATACATATATATATATGTGCATAAGTATCTAATTTACATGCATGTAAATATAAGTGTTGATAGGATGTAAATATGATTTTTTTACATTCTTGTGAAAATGATATTGCATATGTATACATGTATATACCCATGTATTTGTACAGGTATTCTACATGTTAAATGTTTATGTATTCGCATGGACATGTAAACATAGTCTAGTACTTGAAAGTATTTGAAAAAACATCTTACATATATTCCAGCTCATCTTCATAAATATGTGTCTGTGTGACTGTGCGTGTGGCAGCTGAACTGCTTTCCGGATTCCTTCATTGCATGGATTGCACGGGGGAAACAAGACGTGACACTGTCCACTCGATCTGCAAAGGTCAGTGGCCTCGACTTCTGAAGTGACAAAGCCTTGCTGCATGTTTTCTTGCGAACCTATTTCCTTGCAGGCACGCCCAAACAGTGCCGTAGCAAAGAGATCCATAGCAAAATCACTTTGTGTGCCGGTTTTTCTTCACAAACAAAAACGGGTCTGCCCATGTCTGCCCATCCTGTGGAGGAAGCTCTAGAGCGCTTCCTGGATGTTCAGCCATGGCCTTGCAGGCTGAAACAAATCCACAAGAATTAAGGGCATAATATGTATATTTATATATATATGTGTATATTATAGCTAAGATAAGGATATAATGTTGTGTATATATATAGTATCTAATATTACTGTAATTCATGCATGTATGTACATATCTCATCTATGCAAATCCATATTCTTGTACATATTTATTTGAAGATGGATGGATGGATGGATGGATGGATGGATGGAGGGATGGATAGACAGATACATAGACATAGATAGGCAGACAGTGACAGACAGACAGACAGACAGACAAACAGACAGGCAAACAGATAGATATGCATATGTATATATATATACATATATAGATATATATGTGCATAAGTATCTAATTTACATGCATGTAAATATAAGTGTTGATCGGATGTAAATATGATTTTTTACATTCTTGTGAAAATGATATTGTATATGTATACATGTATATACCCATGTATTTGTACAGGTATTCTACATGTTAAATGTTTATGTATTCGCATGGACATGTAAACATGGATACACATATATGTACAGTATATAGTCTAGTACTTGAAAGTAGTTGAAAAAACATCTTACATATATTCCAGCTCATGTTCATAAATATGTGTCTGTGCGACTGTGCGTGTGGCAGCTGAACTGCTTTCCGGATTCCTTCATTGCATGGATTGCACGGGGGAAACAAGACGTGACACTGTCCACTCGATCTGCAAAGGTCAGCGGCCTCGACTTCTGAAGTGACAAAGCCTTGCTGCATGTTTTCTTGCGAACCTATTTCCTTGCAGGCACGCCCAAACAGTGCCGTAGCAAAGAGATCCATAGCAAAATCACTTTGTGTGCCGGTTTTTCTTCACAAACAAAAACGGGTCTGCCCATGTCTGCCCATCCTGTGGAGGAAGCTCTAGAGCGCTTCCTGGATGTTCAGCCATGGCCTTGCAGGCTGAAACAAATCCACAAGAATTAAGGGCATAATATGTATTTATATATATATGTATATTATAGCTAAGATAAGGATATAATGTTGTGTATATATATATAGTATCTAATATTACTGTAATTCATGCATGTATGTACATATCTCATCTATGCAAATCCATATTCTTGTACATATTTATTTGAAGATGGATGGATGGATGGATGGATGGATGGATGGATGGATGGATGGAGGGATGGATAGACAGATACATAGACATAGATAGGCAGACAGTGACAGACAGACAGACAGACAGACAGACAGACAGACAAACAGACAGGCAAACAGATAGATATGCATATGTAATACCCTAGGGGGCGGGGGTTCCCCGAGGGGGGGGAGGGGTGGGGTGGGGTGTAATAACGTTCATGTAACTTGCGTGAAGGGTTGGGGTGGGGTGGGGTGGGTGGGGTGGGGTGGGGTGGGGTGGGTGTGTAATAACGTTCATGTAACTTGCGTGAAGGTTCATGTAACTTGCGTGAGGGTCGTTCATGTAACTTGCGTGAAAGGTAGGGTTGGGGTGGGTGTGGGGTGTAATAACGTTCATGTAACTTGCGTGAAGGGTTAGGGTGGGGTGGGGTGGGGTAATAACGTTCAAAACGTTCATGTAACTTGCGTAGAATTGGAGGCGACGTGCATGCTACGTGGATGTTACGGTCATTCTAAAGTCATGTACTTCTCAGGCATATGCCATGTTACGCTAGTGTAAGTTCTCTTGTAATTGTGACGTCTACGTCATGCTACGCTAGTGTAAGTTCTCTTGTAATTGTGACGTCTACGTCATGCTACGCTAGTGTAAGTTATCTTGTACTTGTCACGCATACGTCATGCTACGCTAGTGTAAGTTCTCTTGTACTTGTCATGCATGAGTCATGCGGGGGGAAGGGGTGGGCTGGGGTGGGGTGGGGTGGGGTGTAATAACGTTCATGTAACTTGCATGAAGAGGTGGGTGTAAAAACGTTCATGTAACTTGCGTGAAGGGGCGGGGTGTAGACATCGCAATGTTCTAGCAGTGCACTATGTAAGCAAAAAGCCTGGTTTGGAAAGTGTCTTGAATGCACTGGCACGCTTCAAGGAGTTGGCAATGAAAAGTTGCCGGCAGCCTGGTTTGTGCCTTCTATAGTGGTTGATATGTCTTGTACTAATGCTTTTGTATAAAAACAGAAAAAACAGCTGACTCACAGCACTCGGAAATTTTGATGATATGCAAAATCACCGTGAATTACCAATGAAAAACAACATCACATCAAAATACCTGTGGAAACACAGTATAATACCCTTTTCCAATGATCTTTGATATAGAACAAAAAGTGCACCTTGTAATTCCAATGGAGAAAATAAGAGCACCAAAAAAAAACATATTGTGAGGGTCCATAATTGACTTGAACTTCGACGGACGAAAAAAAATTGATCCGTAACTGAAAGACATCAACAATGAAAAGAACGACATGAAAAATTTCCATTTTACCACAGTGAAACACTGTTTTTTCTCCAATTCAATGATCCTGATTGACATCCTCTCGGGGAACCCCCGCCCCCTGCCGTATATATATATATATATATGTGCATAAGTATCTAATTTACATGCATGTAAATATAAGTGTTGATAGGATGTAAATATGATTTTTTACATTCTTGTGAAAATGATATTGTATATGTATACATGTATATACCCATGTATTTGTACAGGTATTCTACATGTTAAATGTTTATGTATTCGCATGGACATGTAAACATGGATACACATATATGTACAGTATATAGTCTAGTACTTGAAAGTATTTGAAAAAACATCTTACATATATTCCAGCTCATGTTCATAAATATGTGTCTGTGTGACTGTGCGTGTGGCAGCTGAACTGCTTTCCGGATTCCTTCATTGCATGGATTGCACGGGGGAAACAAGACGTGACACTGTCCACTCGATCTGCAAAGGTCAGCGGCCTCGACTTCTGAAGTGACAAAGCCTTGCTGCATGTTTTCTTGCGAACCTATTGCCTTGCAGGCACGCCCAAACAGTGCCGTAGCAAAGAGATCCATAGCAAAATCACTTTTTGTTCGAGAATCAATGCCTCATAGAACAGCAAGACTATTTTGAGAGCATCAGGTCAGAACATGTAATGCTGTAGCGAAGAAGCCTCTTTGCAGAACATCGACAGGTTCAAAGGTAACCACTCCTCTTCTCAATCAGTTACGGACATGTTGACTCCCGCTTATCGCAAAGGTTCCACATTATGCCATGGGACTGCTTTGATTTTGCTCCCTTCTCTACTAAGCCAAATGCTCAATTAATGCATTGAAAACCTTCGGATGTTGTTAGCCTTGGTTAGCTACCTGCTTTCTAACCTCCTGCTCTGTCCAGTCAGTCGCTGCCTCCATGTCGCTGGGTGGAGTTGGGCAATCTTTCGGAAGCAAATGCGCTGCAAGCGCTGCAGTCAACCCAAAACAGAATCTGTATGCCTGCATATGGCTATATCTATCTGCATGTGTATGTGTACATCTGTAGAATCTATACATATATCATATATTTACGTGTGTCCACATGTCTGTGAACATACCATATTATGAATTATATATATATACATATACACATGTACATGTATCCGCTTGCAAGTAATCATGCTAAGTATGTAAAAAAAAAAAATGTTACTTCTTTTGTGGCAAGAAGTCCTTGAACCCAACAAGGCTGCATTTTAGCCAATGCCCGAAAGAAACTCGTCCATGTCACACAAATCATGGTCGTTGAATGCCACTTTGAGCAGAAAAAACTTGCCAGGCTGAAGTGTTTTTTCTGACGAATGCCCTGTGCGGCTGTGCGCTTGCAAATCCACCTCTCATTTTGGTGATTCGGCCACCTCAACATATGGCAGGTAGAGAAACCACACAACCACATCCAGACACGCAAACCACAATCCTAAGGCCACTGGCCAAAATATCAAAAGCTGCAGTAAAAGAAGAAAACTGCGCTAGGGCGGGGAATCTTTTGCACTGTTTGCTTCCCTACCACCGGCATGAAGACCAAGACCAACAAATTGCCCAGGACCCCCGCAACTATTGCAAAAGAAGAACAAATGACTCGAACGGCAATGGCAAACCACAACAACACAAGGTTTGAATGTGTGTCCGATAGGACAGCTTGCCTGCAAGTTTGAATCCAATTTGACGGTGACCACCTGGTCATGGTTGCTCACAAGTTCTCCCAGCTGAAATTGACAATTGCTCAATGTTTGTGAATGTCTCTGACCATCCCTGTATTCTCATGCCAGCAGCACTTGTCCGGTCTTGTCAGCATGGCCTGGACAAAACCATCTGATGTTTCAACATCTTGCTCGTTGGAGCTACAGGAAGAGAATGGCGGTTTGCGAGGAAGAGAAAATACACATGTTACATATCTACACATACCTACAGTTTCTCTACAAACCATTTTACAACAGTTTTTCAAAAGTAATGCTCGACAAGGACCTTATCAGAAACTGCTAGCAGGCTCGCAACCGAACCTCCTCGAAGCTTGTGACCTTCCACTTCAACGTGAGCCACGTGGGCTGCAGTTACTGCAGTAGCCTCAAAGATTTGAAAGAGTTCATTAAATTAACTCTACAAGTTTCAGGCAAGCTGAGCCTTGTGAGCATCAGACGTCTCCTGCATGGAATCTAGCTATGCATCTCGCAGTTTGTTGCAGTTTCAATTTGATCTATATAGTTGGATAGTTGTATAACAGGCAATACCTGCCTGGAACGAGCAATCCGCATAGTCGGCTCAATTTCTGTTCAGTTTTTGTGTTCCTTGGTTTGACTCTCCTTGATGTATCTGTCGATGAGATCATCACTGAAGAAAGATGGAGTAGAACCATGTTCTTTGACCTCATCACACTTGTGGCACAGCCCCCTGTCAGGTTTTCAAATCACATCATCATATTGTAGCCTCTGAGAAACCCGGCCTCTACAGTTTTTCCATGCACAAGCAGGGCTGCCCTGAACTGACAGAAAGTATGAATTTGGCAATCTGATGCAATCTGGCCAATCATGAAATCAAAAGACATCTGTTTCTGAAATAGTTTGTTTCTGCTTTTGAATTTGGACAATTGCAAAGGTACTGGGCTCAAAGCAAGCCCACCAGGAAGGTTCGCACCTAGATTAGCTGGATTGCTCGGCCAGATTGCTGAATTCGGTAAAAACAGATTGTTTTGGTTTGTGTATAATTTAATCATGTTTAACCGGGCCTTCACACAAAGCCCGTGTCTTCGTATGATTTTGTTGATTTAGTATTGAGTACAAATCAAATTGTTCAATTTTGGCAACCAACCTTTACACAGAAGCGGCTCTTGCAAAAGAAAATTTTGCACTAAAATAAATTTACCAAAACGCCCTTTCCACAAATAAGCATTTCCTTTGTGACACAGACAGCCTGGAAGATATAGAGCAATGCTTTAGTGCAAAAGATCATAGGCCTTGATGCCCTGCAACATGCCAAAAGGTCATCATGGGACGAAAAAGTGTATCCAAAAATGTGTTTAATTTCCAAATATATATATATATATATATACATATATATATATACATATATGTTGTTTCGACACGTGACCAGTTGGGTCTTTGCTGCATGCCGTCCGTCGCAGGAAACCTCTCGGCACAGGTGGAAAAACGAGGCGCCCGACTGTTTTCCCCCGGGTGGGAAAGGATCTCCGCTATTGGTAGCGGAGCCAGCCAATAGGGCAGGCTCCAGCCATGGAACCTTGAGACCTTCAGGCGAAGGTTGGTGACACGTGACCCATGAGATCTCTGTCATGACATCTGAAACTCCTGGTGGCTCAGTTCGCTACTTCAACGGCGGTAATGAGGACGCCAGGGAGTACAAGCGATGGAAGCAATGGGCTGTGAACAAGATGATAACAAGGGACAAGCTGGGTGAAGCTGCTTGTGGGCTTGACATCTATACCTTGCTCAGTGGCAAGACATT